ATATATATATATATATATATATATATATATATATAATGTGTGTGTATAGAGGCAGCACAGTTTTCAGATTTAGATCCAATTTTGCTGTTTACAAATGTAGAAAGGCCATATTTTAAAATTTACATTTGTAATTTAGAGGGATATTTATTAACAAATGAAGTTTACTCTCCTGATGAGTTGATGACGTCACTTAACATTTATATAATTGAATGAAAACAACAACAAAAAAAGCAACCAATAAATAAATAAAAACGGATGCCTTGCAGCCATCCACAGGAGGGTAGTGTTGCATCATGGGTATTTTAATGCGCGCTAGCCACAACCAAGAGGCTGAATGGGAACACAATACAAATTCACAGTGGTTAAATTCATACTATATGAAAAAGTTGAGGCATGCTCAGTTTTTGCATAAGAAGCTTCATGCAGCACTTTCATATTTATAGGAGTATACAAATTACAGATTAGGAAAATGAAAAAATAATCTCTACCTACATGAATCTAAGTGCATCTCCGCCATCAAATATGTCAAAATTTAAAGTCAAGATCTTGCTGTTAGTCCTCAGAGTATATGGCGGTGACTCTCAGCTACTACCACACCAAATTCAAGCTGAATATCTGCAAAACTCACTTACTGTCATTTTTGTGGTTCTTAAATTTCATCAGCTGTGGCAGCCATCTTGAATTGTATTGACTCCAAAACTTAATCAGTTCTAGATGCACGTCCAGTTATTACTTGGTGAGTTTCATTAAAGTCAGTCCAGGGATTCATGTTACTGACAAACAAACAAGTGAACACACGCACAAATAAATAAATGATCATGTGCTTATTATTATGGGATTGGGTGATGAAAATCTTTGATGTCTTTTATGAGACATGGCAGCAGAAACAACAAAGAGCTGGCCACGTCGAGGGAGGTCAGAAGAGCCTCGGGGTTGAGTCCCACTGCTGACGAGCTGTCCCGGTGTCATCTGCAGTGACATTATTAGAGACAATGTCATCCTGCTGCGTGACTCTCAGAGTCCGTGGACACGCAAAGGAGGACGTATGACGAATGTCCTGCCTGCTCTGGATCCCCGGCAGATGGATGCGATGGAGGACATACATGATGATGGAGTCAAAGAGAAAAGCGTTTAAAGTTAACTGTAATCTTCCATTCAGGGAGACACCTTGGTTCTTATCAGGACACGCGTACGGAGGCAAAAACACCGAGATAAGAGGCCGTTTTGTTGTTGTGGGGCTGACAGCTGACAGATGTTATCACGGGGTAGGACACAGGTGACAGATGAGGCTGCAGAAGTTGCAGACCTGTCATTTCATGGAGCTGAAAATGCCAGCTGCGCCACGTGAGACACCATTATCATTCTTTTGTTAAAGATCGTCTCAGACGTCATCTGAAGCTCGTAATTGTCACTCGCGAGGCGCTGGCTGAAGAAACCTGTCTGCAGAAGCAACATTTCATCAAAACACGTAAAATCAAGTTGTGTTTAATTAACTGGTGGGATCATTTAGGATTGCATCGGTGAGGCCTTTATTTCATGCGAGCTAACGCATATCCTTTGGGCAACCAGGGATGTCTAAAACTGAGAGTAAATTATGTTAATAAAATCTGAGAACATGTGGAGGGTTTATAAAACCATCTGATTAAAGACTCTAGACTCTCTTGGTCACTCAGCTATGGCCATGCCAAATTTGAGCTCAGTATTTGCCAAAGTGACTGAATTACAGCCATCTTTGTGTTGGTTAAGATTAATTAGCTGTGGCGGACATCTTAAAGGGTGTAGACAGGGTTTTTGAGTTACTTTGTCATTTTTCACTTTCACAGCAAATGTGCATGCAGTCTGCCTATTTAGTCTTTTTTATGGAACACCAAAATGCTCAAAAATAAATACTGTAAATAAATCTTTATGAAAAAAGTGTCTAAGCTCATTATTATGATTTTTTTTAACGTTTATTCTTTTATTTCATAATAGTGTTTTCCATAATGACTTATTTATTTCATAATGCCACTTTTCAGCAGAATGACCTCAGCTGTCAATCAACGTCAGTGGGTTGGACCGACACGCCCACTGGCTGATCCTTCACATCCATTAGTTTTCCTGAATACCTACCTGCTCACTCACAGACATAAGTTAGGGCTAATAATTTAGATCTAATTTATAATTCTGAGCAAACAAATAATTGTTTACATGCGTTAATTTTGCTAAATTCAAAGAACTAAAACAGCGAGGCCGAAAGACTTCTT